AAAGATTAAAACTAGAACTATATCTCTCACCATTCACTAAACTAAAATCAAAATGGATTAAAGATCTAAATATTAAAATAGAAATGCTGAACCAGATGGAACAGAAGTTAGGTAGAACTCTTGAAGACATTGGTGTAGGAAAAGATTTTATGAACAAAACCTCAGGTGCCCATGAACTAGCACAAACCATCAACAAGTGGGATCTCTTATTAAAAAGCTTCTGCACAGCAAGAGAAACCACCAACAGTGTAAAGAGACAACCTACAATGTGGGAAAAATTTTGCACATGCTGTTCCTCGGACAGAGGTCTACTATCTAGAACCTACAAAGAACTCTAAAGTATCAGACCTCCCAAATTTGAAGACCCAATCCGAAAATGGGCATCTGAAATGAACAGACATTTCTCGAAGTAGAAATAGCAAATAAATACATGAAAAAATGTTCAGCATCACTGGTCATTTGAGAGACGCAAATAGAAACAACGCTGAGATTCCACCTCACTCCAGTAAGAATGGCTGCTATCAAGAAATCAACTAACAAATGCTGGTGGGGCTATGCAGAAAAAGGAACCCTGCTCCACTACTGGTGGGCGTGTAGACTGGTGCAACCTCTGTGGAAATCAGTATGGAGATACCTCAAAAACTAGGACTGAAAGTCTCATTTGATCCAGCTATTCCCCTGCTGGGTGTCTTCCCCAAAGAATTAAAAGAATCGTACCACAGTGATATACGTGCACCCATGTTCATAGCAGCACAATTTGTAATTGCTAAAACTTGGAAGCAGCCCAAATGCCCATCAACTGGAGACTGGATAAAGAAAATGTGGTTTTTTCAGTAAAATGGAGTACTACTCAGCCATAAAAAATGAGAAATTAGAGATATTTATAGCTAAATGGATGCACATTGAAGCAATACTCTTAAGTGAAATATATATTACACGCACATGTCAATACCAAATAGTTTCTCTAGTGTGAGAAACTGAAAGGCTAAATAAGGACTGAAAAGTATAATAGATAATGTGAAATAGGAAGGAAAGGAGCAAAGGGGAAGGGGACCTGGGTGGGGTAGGGGAAAAGAAAGAAAGCAATGGAATTAATATGAGAAAATGAAAAAATGGAAACAAAGTCTTTATAAATAGGGAGGGATGGAAGAGTTGAAAGGAGGGCAAGGAAAGGGGGAAAAATAAGATCCAAGAGAGATAATGTAAAGGTGAAAATTTCCAATGGTGAATGTCATTGTATTGTATACCTAAAATGTACCAATAAAATAAAATTTTTTAAAAATCCAAAACTTTTTGAGCACTGACAATGCTGCAAGTAGAAAATTCCACACTATTAGATTTTACTTCATGCCTGAAATTATTTGAAATATTGTACAAAGTTACATTAAGACCATGTGTATAAGGTATATATGTTTAGACTTGCATCTCACCCCAAGATATCTCATTATGTAAATATTCCATATTCCAAAATCTGAAATGTTTCTGGTCCCAAGCATTTCAGATGAATGATACCCAGCCTGTAGTATGATTCCAATATAAAGTTAGCAGTCATGCAGGATGATACAATGTATTGTTTAGGGATACAGACATGCAGGAAAATTGTAAAGGGACTAATAAGCAGATTTTCAGGAAGCAGTTACCTCAGAGACTAGAGAAGTGGGGAGATCAGGCAACAGCCCATGGGGACTCGAAGGTCATGTGACATTTCATTTCTTAAATGAAGTGACAGCAATACAGGCCTTCACTGAACTGATGGTGTTTTTACCATGGATATTTATAAATGTTCTCTGGTAGCTCCTTTTAACCCATAATTTGTATACCTGTAATATTTTATCATGTGCCCAAATTTCAAAAGTAGTATTGGGGCCGAAAGGTAGCTCAATGGTTGAGTGAGTGTTTGGAATGAGTGAGGCCCCGGGTTCAATCTCCAGCACCACCAGAAATAATAATAATAATAATAATAATAATAATAATAATAATATAACCCGTTAGATATTCCTTGCCCAACACCTGTAGTCAGCAATTCTAAGCCCCAAAGATTTTCCAAGATTTGGGTGAAGATTTTTACCAAGGTGTGGGCCTGAGGTTTGCCCTTTTATACTTTTGGTGTCCACTCACTGACCACTCCCTGGTAATTCTGAAATTGCTGTCCTTCAATAAAGTGATTCAAGGAATCTCCTAGAAGCTGCAGCACAGGGAGCCTCCTCGTCAATCCCTCTGGTGGCGAACATCGCTGCAAATCTCATCGCCTTCCTGGCCCTGTTGTCCTTTGTGAATTCAGCCCTGTCCTGGTTTGGAAACATGTTTGACTTCCCGCAGCTAAGTTTTGAGGTATAATTCTCTCACACCTCCTCCCTCTGTGTTGTTTCTGCCTGTCTGTTTACAATAACTCCCGACTATGCATATTGTAGAAGCTTCTGGGCTTCACCTAGCACCCTGCCCCTTCTCTATCTCCTCTCTCCTTCCCCCAGACATCTCCTGATCCCTTCTCCAAGAACCCAGGCAGCTTCAAATGACCATTCTGGCCTTGGCTCCTGTCTTAGTCAGTTTGCTATTACTATAACAGAACATCTGACTGGACACCAAAAAAATTAAAAAGAAGTTGATCTAGCTCACAGTTCTGGAGGCAAGAAGTTGAAGTTCAGATGGCACCAGCCTGACTCCTGTCAGGGGCCGTGCTGCTGAACACATGGAGAGAGGCAGAGCAGGCAAGCAATTGCACACCGAGAGAGAGGGGCAGGATGGAGGAGCTGACCTCTTCATAACCACCTAGTATCTCTGGACTAATCCATTCCAGAGAGGGCTAATCCAATCTCAGCATCATTACCCTGGGAACCAGACCTCAGTAAGAGTTTGGTGAAGACAAACTGTATTCAGACGATGCCAATTCCTGATAGATAACGTTGGGCAACTGAACATGAGGCGATTTCTTCTGCCTAAAGAGGACAGAGGCAATAAGAACAACCTTGTCACTGAAGATGATGCAGAAGAACTAGAAGCAAATCACTATTCTAACAAAATATTTACTTCTGTCTTTTGCAGATAATATGCTCCTACGTCTTCATGCCTTTTTCCTTCATGATGGGAGTGGACTGGCAAGATAGCTTTATGGTTGCCAAGCTCATTGGTTATAAGACATTCTTCAATGAATTTGTGGCTTATGAGCACCTCTCCAAGTGGATCAGTTTGAGGAAAGAGGCTGGACCCAAATTTGTGAATGGGGTGCAGCAATATATGTCAGTGAGTGAATATCCCAATTTTTCTGTGCACTCCTTCATCACATATATGTCAACTAGTTACTTATGCTTCTGTGTGTCAGGCACTATAACTTGAGTTATATCAGAGAGCAAAACAACTACCCATTGTGATGCTCATAATGTTCATAGCACCTCATAATTTTCAGTTCTGTTGTACGTGTGTTTCTATGCATATGTATGTACCAGGGAGACAGGCGGAGAAGGAGAGAGACAGCAAAAGAGGGAGAAGGGGGATGGAGGAAAGAAAGGGAGAGGGGAGGAGAGGAGAGGACAGGAGAGGAGCTGCAAATCCACTGTGATGGTTTACTCCCAAGGATATAAATACAAACTCAGAGTCACATAAGCTGGAACTGGAAACAGTAAGTCAACAACTATTTTTTAAATGCATTGTGCATTTGAATCAACATGCAATGTGGTAGGTACTAGGGCCACAGCACTGAGGTTAGTCAGCTTTGAACTAGGTGACAAAATACCTAAGGTAGTCAACTTAAAATGAAAAAAGTTTGTTTTGGTTCATGGTTTCAAAGGTCTCAGCCCATGGTCTGTTCTGTCCCCTGCAAGGGCGTGCCCTTAGGGCCCTGACACCCTCCCACGAAACCTACCTCCCAGGAACACCACAGGTCTGGGGCCAAGCCTTGACACATGGGCCTTTGGGGATACACAGGCTCTGCATTATAGCAGGCCCTGTCTTCATGGAGCTGGTAGTCTGATTATCATGAAGGTCTTTTCTTTGCAGCTGACAGGATTGCTATGAGCTCTGAGAATCTGCATAAATGCAATATAGTGCCTGGCCATTCTCAAGAGAAAGTAAAACACTATTAGTCAGCTTTCCCATTGCTGAACACAACACCTGATACTCAGAACTTTAAGGAGGAGAAACATAGTGGGGCTCACAGTTTCAGGGGATTTAGTCCATAGTTGGCTGGCTGCAAGGCAGAAACATCATACCAGAAGGGCTTGGCAGGAAAAAGATGCTTCATTCAAGGCAACCAGGAAGCAGAGCAGTGCCAGAGAGGAAGGGGTGAGGGACCAGACAGACTCCATAGCCACACCTCTGTGACTTACCTGGACACACTTAGAAATACGCTCACAAATACCCCAGGCAGATCCCAGAGCTGCCACCTTCCACCCTCTCCTCTCAGTGCCAAAGGCACTACCACTACCATCCAAAGGGATTGGAGAATGAACAAGCTCAGGTCTGTGATCTGAACACACTGAGTCAAACACCCTATAATCATGTCAGAGCACCAGATCAGTAGTCTACAAAGAGATGCTCACATCCCTCTGGCCTCTGAAGGGATGAGGAATTCAGCTGAGGCCATTTGTGCAGCTGAATCTCCAACTTCTCTCCCCCTGAAGAACAGGGTTGTCACATATGACAACTCTAATGGAATTGTGAACATTTCTCACCACAACTCACTGAAACAACCTTTTCGAAGCTAATGTCCCAAGCAGGTATTAAGTTTTAAAAAGGAAGTGGAGGAAAAGCATCCTGCCTGAGTGTTGAGCCTGCTCACCTTAAACACCAGCACCTCCCCTCAGCTTCCCAAAGACCAAACATTCAGATTTCCTCCATCCATTCACATGTCTCGCAGGCAACTCCAGGAGAGGACTGACTTCTGTTGTGCGGCCGGGTGTAGTTGCACCCACAAGTCTGTTAGGCACAGGGCTCGGGTTTCTTGTCTTTCACATGTTCATTCCTCAAGTAACCTCAGTGGTTCTAAGCCAAGTAGCCTCATTGTTTGGATCCCACCCAAACCGATTTGTTTCCCAGCCAAAAGAAAACAATAGGCTAAGTTAAGTGAAATATTTTCTATCCCCTACTACTAGTTGCCAGAAGAGAAAATAATTCTGTTATTAAGCCAAGAGACCTGCATCTCTCTGGCAAAGCTGAGCGGTATTCTGGAAGGGTTGTTAAGAAGGTAGAGACAGAATGTGGAGCTGATTTAAGTTTGGGGATGAGCCCAGCCAATGGCAGTTGCACAGAATACATGTACACAAGCTCAACAGCTCCCACTATTGCTGAGTCATGAGAAGAACAGCATTTTGTGACTCCACGTTCCTGATTTCCAACCAACAAGATGGGGATCTCTGCTCCCAACTAATGAGTGGTAGAATGTGTCCCAACACTATCCTGAGACACATCTGCTACAAGGATGAAGCTCGCCATGTTGGTCCCAGAGACAAAATCCCAGTGACATCCTTGAATTATGTCCATTGCTTAAGTCCATCTAAGGTAAGAGATCAGAATGTACATTAGCACCCACATACAGAGAATGAGCCCTTTTGTTACTGCATTATTTTCTCCTTCTTAAACATAATACCTTGTACATTTACATACTATGTAACACAGGTAATATATGCCCTAATATAGAAGTCAAAGTGTACAAAAGGAAGCCAGGTATAAGAGAGCACACCTGTAATCCCAGCCCTCAGGAGGTGAATCAGGAGGATCACCACAAGTTCAAGGCCAGCCTGGACTATATAGCAAGACCCTATCTCAAGCAAACAAAAACTACAAAAGGTATAGAGGAAAAGCAGGCCCTCTTCCCTATTTCTCTGCCACCTTTCCCCTCTGCCCCAGCATATTTAACCTTGCTGTTTGCATTCAGTGGCACATACCAAACACCTTTCCACATCCATGCCTATGGCACAATGCTCTGCTGCATAGCAGCAGTTTGTCTAACTGTGCTGCCCCTTGCTGAGGAACACTGTTAGCCATTTCTTGCTGTTAGAAGTGGTGCTGCTGTGGTCGTTCTTGTATGTGTAGCATCTTTGGTTGCACACAAGGAAGCTACTGAGCCTATCATTAGTATTTCCTTAGTGCAGTGCGTCTTTCCATCACATAACCTTTCACATTTGTGGACTAAGGCCCCCAGCCTCCTCTTCTTCTTTTAAAACCATTCATGGCCACATGTGTATATTCCCCACCCAGATCCCCGGATAAAGAAAGGAACCACAGGCTCCATATGCCATCTCTCTGCCCCCACAGTCTCTAATAATAAGTGTGCCCATTTTTGAAGCCAATTGAACTAAATGGAAAGCACTAGATAGAGTAGGGGCCTGATGGCCTTTTCCAGGAAGAGCAGACTGCACCAATGCTCAATTTTTTTTTCCTGCCTGCTATATGCACCTCTTACAAAAATACTAACAAAGGACTTTTCAGAAGCTGTGAGAGGGAAGAGGGACCTTAAAATCAACAAAAAACTTACCACGATCACTTGAGTGTTGAATGTGATCTTTCAAAAATCCAGTAAGCACAAGGAAATAAAAGTACAACAGTACTTATAAAGGTAGTGTTTAGTTTGTTCTTTGAAAAAAATTATAGATTTTTGGAGATATTAGAAAAGAAAATGATAGCCCCAATCATGGGGGCATTTTTGCCAGATTGGGTATGCCTCTGATGAACAACAGCCTTGAATCTTCGGAGCCTCCCAGAGTCGGTCCCTCTGCCTGAGGGAGGATTGTCTCACCCAAGCAGCACTTCCTGATTGTTGAGATAGAAGCCATGGGCCTGTGCACAGGTTTCCAGATCCACTTTCCATCTCCCCACTGCCTTGTCAAAGAACTTCCCTTCCCTCACTCCCAGGTGGGCATCCTGACATTCCCAGGGCCAGGCAGAGCTGGGGAAAGAGGTAAGTATACACCAAGGCCAAATGAGTTCCAGTGTCTGAGAACTGCATTTTTACTAACAGGTTTCCTTAATTTCCCACAGGATCCTTCATAGTCAACAACTCCTCCACCCCAAGACCAAGTGCCAGGCAGTCAATGATGTTTCAATCAGCAGACCCATTAGCATGCCTGTTGTTGTACAAATTATTTTCCTTTTTCTTATAGAGCAGTATTCCAGTTTGTGGATATCCACAAATTGTTTTCCTATTGAAGTTGTTTTAAAGTGTGGTGCTATTATGAGTAAAGCTGCCATAAATATTCATACGTAGCCTCTTCACAGGCATGTGTTTTTATTTCTCACAGGAAAATTGTTGAGTCATACAAGCAGTGCTTGTATAACTTGATAAGGATCTGCCACACTTTCAAAAACAGGCTGTGCCATTTTACATTCCTATCAGCAACATATGAGATCCGGTTGCTATCCATGCTTAGTATTGTCAGTCTTTTTCTAAACTTAATGGTATCTCTTTGTGTTTTTAAATTTGCATTTCCCTGATGTTGACTATCTTTTCATGCGTTTATTGGCCCTATATATGTCTTTTGTGAGGTGTCTGACCTCTTGATCCATTTTTCCTTGAGTGTTTGTCTTCTTATTGAGTTATAGAAGTTTATAGAAGTTATAGCTTTTTATATTCTGAATAAGTTCTTTGTCAAATAAACATAATGCAAATATTTTCCAGGATCAATTTTGTATCTCCAGCAACTAATACCATGCCTGGCACATGATAACAGGTTGCCAGGTCATATGGAATGTTAGAAGTTGTTAACAAGCAGGAAGTAGCATTTCTAGAAGCCAATGCTTCCAATTCCATATGCCCTTTAGAGAGTCTGAATCCACCAAGCTGCCTGCCACTCTCCCTTGAAATTCCAGGGCAGGAGGTAAAAAGAGTCCAGGAAGCCATGGACAGTGGTATTGGACAGCATGTTTATTGCTATTGATTCTGTAGTCGCAATGTGAAGCCCAGCAGGGATATCAAATTTCTTAGGCTGAGGCAGTTTATGTCACAGCAGTATTTATGCTTGCTTACAGATTCGTTCGGAGATAATTGCCACTTATGCCCTCTGTGGTTTCGCCAATTTCGGTTCCCTAGGAATAGTGATCGGCGGACTCAGTAAGTGAAAGAATATTCTTTACCAACAGATGTGACAAAAACATACTTTGGATCTCCATCTTGCTCTGTAACATTACTCATGTCAGAAGGAAAATGGCCCTGTAACAGCAGAAAGTTTTCAGCTGTATTTTCTTATCCATGTTCTGCAGTATAGTTTTCCTGTAAATACCCAGGTTAACCTCAGGGAAGATTTGCTCAAAAGTATGGACACTTTTGCCACCCCACAGGCAGCACAGAAAGTACACCTTACAAGTTGATGCCTGTAGATTATAGCGGCTACCCAAGAAATATCCCTAGGGCATATGGAAGTTTGATGGGAAGTGCTGTGCTCATCAGTGCTGTCTGCCATGTGCAGAAGCAGATGGGGACTGTTGGGCTGCCCATCATCTCCCTGGTGGAGCCCAACTTCAACCTATTTGCTTTGCTATGCTCATGAGCCCTTTGGATGGAGCTTAGGACTTGTTTCTTTCCAACAAACCTGAAACTCCAGTCCCAGAACAATTTTCAGAGGCTACAGATTTGGGTTTCTAATCAGTAACCTCAACAATAACCTTAAATACCTCTTTTCATGTTTTGCAGCATCCATGGCTCCTTCCAGGAAGCGTGACATTGCCTCCGGAGCCATCAGAGCTCTGATTGCAGGGACCACTGCCTGCTTCATGACAGCCTGCATCGCAGGTGTGGGATCCTGTCCTGGCTGTCCTGGTGCCCACAGGACAGCAGCTTTGGGGAGGCAGGGTCTGCAACATGTACTGCAGCATATGCTGCTGTAAAAAGCTGAGAGTCGGCACTGCTGTCAAGCATATGCAAAGCTAGATGTGTGAAGCGGGTGGAGAAGCCAAGAACAGAAGGAGAATTCCATAGCTTTACTAGTTATGAAAATACAATGAATGACACTCTTCCCATTTCTAGGCATACTCTCCGGCACTCCTGTGGATGTTAACTGCCATCATGTTTTAGAAAATGCTTTCAACTCCACTTCACCTAGCAACACAACCAGAGTGGTATTTTGTTGCCAAAGCTTATTGCCCAGGTATTGTATTCTTGATTATAACTTCTTTATACTCACTTATTAATAACCAAATCTGACCTAAAGACCCTTTCACCTACTTTTTAGCTTTCTTACTTTATTTTAATGTAAGAACTTGCACAGAAATTGTAACAATCTTTTGCTTTGACTTCTGTTGGATAAGGCTAGGAACTGAAATACTCAATAGCACTGCTTAAGCATTTAGTATGCACGCAACCATGCATTAAGCACTTTGTATGAAGTAATGCCCTTATACCTTGCAATCTCTGCAAAAGCTGGGCACCATTCATTTTCTTTTTGTTTTGTATTTGATATAATAGTGGCTTAGGGAGGTTGTGTCCACTCAAGCAAAATTAGCACCGGCACAACTGAGAGAAAAATTTCAGGCCCATCTTCCCATGAAGCCTATCCCTGCCCTAAGTTACCAATCCCCCATAACCAGCATACCTCTTTCCATGTTTGACAGCATCCATCTCTCCTTCTAGAAGCACGACTTCTACTGCCTTCCTTCCTGTGCCTCTTTCCTACTTCCATAGCCTCCCTTTCAAAGCAATCAAGGTCTCCCTGACAACATGGTGAGGGGCCATGGTGTATAACAGGCCACCAGTGACCCAGGCTGGTCACCTCTACCCGCTGCAATTTCATTCACAAAAATCAATATCCCCCCAGCTGCTGTCCTTAAAGGGCAAGTGCTTTATACAGATTGATTCTATCCCTTCTGTGTTTACTCTAGAGGAAGAAGGGGGGAGTCTTTGAGGCCACCTAAAATTTGAGGGCCAGAACTAATTCCCTGGGGCCTCTGTTGTTCACCCACCCTAACGCAAATTCGAAGAAGAAACTCCATTCCCTGCTCTGTGCCATCCCAGCGTGTTATTGTCTCCTCACCTACTTTGTCTGCTGTCCAAGGCTCAACTAACTGCTTCGTTCTACCTTTCCTCTAGCACTGTGCTCAAAGGGCCTGGCCAGGTCATCCCAGGAGGAAATAGCAGCCTACACACCCTGAAGGGCTGCTGTAAACTGCTGGCTCCACCCACACTCAACTGCAGCTGGATCCCGAGTGGATTCTGAGTGCAGCCACTTTTCCAGTGAAATGCAGTCTGCAGATGCTGAATTTTCTGCTTTCAGGAAAAGAAAAGCTGTCATCCATAGATTGATAACTTCCATCAGCTTGAATTGTGAAGAAAAAAGAAAACAAGTGTGAACCTTTCAAAGCTATAATCTCTCTCTCCTACCCATCCCTCCAGCTCACCCTTTTCCTACTGAGAACTACTAAAATATCCCAAACCAAGGCCTTACCTCCGGTCCCAACAATCTAAGGTTTTCTAACCTTAGATTTGAAAGACATTTCCTGAGAACACAGGTATAAATGTTGGCTTCCAACAACCAGGCTAGAACTCAGCCATACACTCTAAGTATCTGAATGAGTTTCTAAATAGTCCAGAATGACTTGTTTTAAACACATCTTAAGTAAGGTCACTCTGCATTAACTCTAGCTTATCTGAAATATCTTGAATTTGAATCTTACATAAAGGAAGGATAATCAACAATCACTCCTTGGCTGCCCTTCCCAAGTCCTGCATAAATCAGAAGTCCTTCAGAAAAGCATGGAGGTCCCAACAAAACCAGGACCTAAAGGCCGGGGATTTAGCTCAGTGCTTCCAGCGCCTGCCGAACGAGTGCGAGGTCCCGAGTTCCATCCCCAGTACCAAAAAATTAAAAGACAAACAAAACCAGCACCTAAGACCCTTAAACTTAGAGAGTTGTGTACATCAGTTTAAGCCAGGGTTTCAGTAACAAACAACCCAACAACCTCAGCTGTTTTCAAGTTTATCTTTCACTCATATCACATATTCGTAATAGTTGACTTTGGCCATAATCCTTATGTTGTCTTCATTTCCAGGACCCCTGCTAAAGAAGCAGCCCCTGTGTGGGGCATGCTGGTCTTAGAGAGGGAAAAGGAAATTGGAGGCAACATGGTGGCTCTTAAAACTTCTGCTAGGAAATGACACCCTTCACTTCCACTGGCCAAAACAAGTCCTATGACAATGTGATGTCAGTGACCACAGATGAATTGTCCTGTCACAGGGAAGGACAGTGAATACTTTATAGAAGTGGTATGATACACCACAAGGGTGCATGATTCCCCTGTGTCCCTTCAAGAGTCAACCTGATATAGAACATAGCCATAGACCTCTTCACATGCAAATTTATATTCCTGGTAACAAGACAGGAAAACAGACTTCAGTCAGAAAGACATCAAGAACCAACTAAGGAAGAACAAATCCTGACTGAAGTCTGAACTCCCTCCACAGATGCTCCATAGACCATCAGTACCACACTTGCCTGATGGATGTTGGTATCTCTGCCAGAGATGCTGGTGGAGAGTTTGTGACTGAGAAGTGCATCACCTGCTTTCAGGAACATGAAGAGCAACCACACCATGTGGGAAAACAGCAGTGCCTCTGAGTCCAAAGGAAGAGACTCGTAAAAAAGGTTCTGCAGTACCTTAAGTAATTTATTGTGATTATATTTTCTCTTCTGTTCATGCACAAGAGTAATTTTTCCACAAAATCCATGTGTATATAGGTGGGGTTTCATTCTGGGTTTTGGTGGTAATAGGAAAGGAGACTAAATGCCAAAAAGACTTTTTCTCTGAAGTAAATAAACCAAGATATTTCTAACTTTTAAATTATTTGTATCTATTCCTCTTGGGATCCAATGTGCCTTTCCAGCCTTAACAGTATTTTAGGAAAAAATATTTGCCCCTTGTTTTTAGTGTTAAGCTTCATTATAGCCTCTAAGACTATTCAAGAATGTCAATTATTCATATTTTGTTCTTCTTTGTCTTCAATAGCTCTTATTTCATCAGTAATCTATTGTAATTCTTTGCATATTTCTACTCCACTATATTCCTGAAAATCTCTCCGGGAATCTCTTTGCTGCTTCCAGTGTACCTGCCTGGCTAATTTTTAAATTCTGTCTTGTCATTATTATTCCTTGAATGTTTGTAGCTCTTCTGAGGATATTTGTTTTAATTATTCAGAGGAAAATTTAATTACAGTGGATCCTCGAGTTATGACTAGCCTGACATATGAACAACTTGGGAGGGAGGGAGTTCAACTATTGCTGTAATTTTGCTCTTTTTGCTTTGGTGTGTATATATGTGGTATTGGGGATTAAACCCAGAGTCCCCTGCATGCTAGGTAAGTACAGTGGTAAGTTAAAAAAAAAAGTACAGTGGTGCCTCAGTTCATGAATGCATTTGAGAACAATTTTGTTCACAAACAAAAGCATTTGAAAATTTTTGGTTTTGTTTGCAAACTCTGCATTAGGTGACAAACACAACCACAGCCATCTTTCTTGCAGGAACAAGAAAGTAGCCATCTTTTCCAGAATCATAGAATGAATTAAGTTTGTGAATTTAAGTACCATTGTACTCTACAACTGAACTACATCCACAGCCCTTTTATATTTTAATTTTGAGACAAGGTCTTGCTAAGTAGCCCAAGCTAGACTGAAACTTGTCATCTTCTTGCCTTAGCCTCTTGAGTATCTGGAATGGATGAATTGACTGATGAGTATTACCACCCCCATGATCCAATCACCTTCCACACACATGAGACTTTGGGGGGACACTTTAGATCTAACCCATAAATTCTGTCCCTGGCCCCCAAAAGATTCATGTCCATATCATTAGGCAAAATGCATTTAGTCCATCTCTAAGTGTTCTCAAAGTCTTAACAGTTCAGCATTGCTGAAAAGTCCAAGTGCAAAGATTCTTCTGACTCAAGGCAAACTCTTAGCTGTGAGCCCCTGTACAAATCAAACAGAAAGTTAATGCTGATTGAAATTCCAACTATATATTTTACAGAACTAGGGAAAATAATCCAAAAATTCATTTGGAACAAGAAGAGACCTAGAATAGCAAAAGCAATTCTAGGCAACAGAGACATGGCTGGGGGTATCACAATCC